CCCCCCGCCCCCGGTACCAAGGAAGGTCCAGCTTCCTTCCCATCCTGACCCTTTCGTGTTCCGGCCCTTCCCCAGCTGCTGGGGTCCTTAGCCTGCCGCCCTCAAGCCATGCCGCCATGTAGGCCAGTGGGGGCGTTGTCCTTCCCTGAGCGTGCCGTCCTCCTCTTCCTGCCCCTTTGCCTTTGTCCGTGCTCTTCTCTCCGCCTGGAATGCCTTTTCCCCGTTTCTCCTCTGGGACAACTCCTACCTATCCCTCAAGAGCCTGCTGAATTTCCACATCCTCCCTGAAGGCTTCTCTGATCCGCTAGGTATAGTTCTCCTTCCTCGTGGGTCTTAGCCGAAGTTCTCGCTTGCTCCGCTCCTGACCATGTATACTGTCCCCGCCTGTTGATGCAATTATCCCCTTAAGCAGACCGAGAGCTCCCTGGATTCCTCTGTGACTCCCTAGGGCCGGGCCCCGAGCAGGTGCTCAGGGAATGTTGACTCTGGGGACGTGGTGTGCCTCTCACCCCTGCATCCCTGCCCGAGCCCCCTGAGACTGCGGAGTCTCCGAGCTGTGTCTGGGCCGACCCCAACATCCCTCACGGACCTCTTGTCACTCCCCCAAACAGGTCAGTGCCCAAGTTCATGAAAAGGCATAAGACCCCGGACTACCGGGGCCAGCACGTGTTCGGGGTGCCCCCCCTCATCCACGTGCAGCGCACCGGCCAGCCACTGCCACAGAGCATTCAGCAAGCCATGCGCTACCTGCGCAGCCAGTGCCTGGACCAGGTGAGCCCTGCCGGGGGACCTGCAGAGAGATGGCACTGGGGAGGAAATCCAAGGCTGAGGAGTGGGGGAGGGGGGCCGCTAGGGCCTTTCTGGCCCACTAGAGACCCTTCTGGGCCTCCCTAAGCTGAAGCTCCCCTCTGCCCAGCTCTCTGACAGCTTCTTTCTGGCCCGGGCACGGTAGGCCCCATCTGTAGGAGCCTCCCTTAGCCTCGGTCCCTCTTTTCCTACTCATTCCTGCTAGAGCCATCTTTCTCCTTGACCCTGAGGCTATAAAAACCCATCTCTTTGGTCTTGCCATTTTTCTCCTACCCTGCCCGGCAGGAAGCCTGGCAGGCTGGGAAGTCTCTGGGGTGGCCCACGCTCCTGACACCAGGTCCAGGGCTGGCCTCATAACCTTCCTCCCCACCCCACCCCTGCCCTGGATGTCTCCCTCCCTCCCTTCCCTGCATGGGCCAGGTGGGCATCTTCCGCAAGTCGGGGGTGAAGTCCAGGATCCAGAACCTGCGCCAAATGAATGAGACCTCGCCAGACAATGTTTGCTACGACGGCCAATCGGCCTACGATGTGGCCGACTTGCTGAAGCAGTATTTCCGGGACCTACCAGAGCCTATCTTCACCAGCAAGCTCACCACCACTTTCTTGCAGATCTACCAGCGTGAGTCACCTGCACCTGTCCCCCAGCAACCTGCCCCGTTCTCGATCTCCCTGAATCCTGGGGCTTGTGAGAGATGAACCCGGTGTGGGCATGAATGAGCTCGTTGGAAGATCTGCTATCCAGAGTTGGAAAGGCCCTTGGAGGGAGACCACACTCTGTTCCCCAAACCCCTTATATGGAGACCTGGACTGAGGCCCCAAGGAAAGGCAGGGGCTTCCCTAAGGTTACATTGCACATTAGAGTGGGGCTTGATCTGGTACGCAGAGACCTCCCAGAGCCCATCCTTACCCTTTCCTCTCACTGACTTCCTTTGGGACCACTGTGCCCTCTGCATTCCTAGAAGCAGGAGACTTGTTGCCGGAAGCTTCTAGGGGAATAAGAAAGCCGTTCTGCCATTCCTTCCTCACAGTCCTCCCCAAGGATCAGTGGTTGGCCGCAGCGCAGGCCGCCACCTTGCTGCTCCCCGACGAGAACCGCGAGGTCCTACAGACCCTGCTCTATTTCCTAAGTGACATCGCCTCTGCTGAAGAAAACCAGATGACAGCCGGCAACCTAGCAGTGTGCCTGGCGCCTTCCATCTTCCATCTCAACGTCTCCAAGAAGGATAGCCCCTCACCCAGGTGAAACAGGGCAGGATGTGGCAGGGCCAGGCGGGGAGGGTCTGGGCCCCCTTGGGCTGCGGACCCTTGAGGGCTGGCCCTGCAGTTCCCAGGCGTCACCACAAGGGGTCAGCCTGACTCTTCGGGGGCCTGGGACCAGTTGGATGTTTTTGAAGCAGGGCCTTCTAAAGGGCAGCAGGTTGTTTTGTGTTTCGGGGGAGCTAGAAGCCAGCCGGTCATCCATCTTGCCTTGTGCCCGTGAGCCATCCTCTCCTCCCGTTCCCTCCAGGATCAGGAGCAAACGCAGCCTGGCTGGCCGGCCGGGTGCTAGGGACCTGAGTGAGAACATGGCTGCCACCCAGGGCCTATCGCACATGATCAGTGACTGCAAGAAACTTTTCCAAGTGAGTAACTCTAGGCCCAGATCCAGGGGAACCACCAGGCCAGAGCTCTGCACCCCCAGTCAGGGACAGGGCCCAACTTGACACATACCCCCTCAGCTTCCAACTCTTGCCCTACAAGCTTTCTCATCTACCTCACTGCCATAGCCAGGCCTCTCTGCCCCTGAACATGGACCGGAGAGATCCCGTGGGTTCTGGGACTGATGGCCCCTGACCTTCTGTTGCTCCCCACGGCTCTAGTGCATATGTGCTCTCCCAGGTCCCCCAGGACATGGTGCTGCAACTATGTGGCTCCTACAGTGCGGCTGAGCTCTGCCCTCCCGGCCCGGGCCTGGCTGAGCTGCGGGAGGCCCAAGCTGCTGGCAGGAGCCTGAGCCTCTACATGGAGGAGAGCGTCCAGGAGCTGCTCCGTGATGCTGCCGAGCGCTTCAAGGGCTGGATGAGTATGCCAGGGCCCCAGCACACGGAGCTGGCTTGCAGGAAGGTGAGTAGCACACTGCCCGTGGCTGCCACGGAGCTGGGAGAGTTCACAGGGCAGGCAGGGAGGTCCAGAGTCCCAAGGGAAGGAGCTGCCCCGTCAGTCGCACGGTGCCTCGGCTTGATCTTGGAGGGTGTCAGCCAGCAGAGCCAAGGACCTTCAGGACCCGAGAACCCGATGAGACCAGGGGCTCTCTGTTGGGCATCGTCGGCCGGAATTCCTGTACCAAAGCCCTGCTGCAGACACGTCAACTCCGTGCGTGCAGAGCCTCACCTCCAGTATCTTTCTGCACCACGGCCGTGCTGAGCTCCTCACACTTGCCCCTCTGTGCTCCGGCCCTAGCTGACCTGCCCCGAGCATTACATGCCCCAAGCCACAGGAAGCCTCAAACTTGATATGCCCTCTCCTTTGGTCAGAGCCTCCTGTCATGTCCCAGATGGGAGGTGCCTTCTCTGTCCTTCTCTTGGCGCTAGCCATCGTCTTTCTTGGATTCCCGTGCCAAGTGAGACCGCGAGCCCGAGGTTTGCCGTGTATACGCCAGTCATGGTGAAACTTCCCTCCTGGGATCGGGATGAGAGGCTGGCACAGCGCCTGGCACATACGGAAGACTCGCCGAGTGGCAGCTGTGCCCTTGTCCTTCCGCCTGTGCTAGATGGCAGGTTCCTTGAGGATGATCACCGTCTTCTCTTCCTGTTCACTTCCAGAAATTCCAAGCCCCGTGTCCCTTTCATGGTAGAGCCTGGTAGGCCCCAGAGGACTTGCGTCTCGCCATCTCTCTGTGCTTTTGACTAGGTGGAGGAGCAGACATCCAGAAAGGAGAGAGAGGACAGGGAACAGAGGGGCGGCCTGTCCGGATCTGGCTAGGGTTAGCAGAGGACCCCTGCAGCCTTCCCTTGTCAGGGGCCGAAGTGAGGGCAGGCTGGAACTGGGGCGTGGGGGGGTGGGAGGGGTGGAGTGGGTATTCTCCAGCCCTGACGGCTGTCCCCTGTCCCCACTCCCGTGGCTCGCAGGCTCGAGACGGGCACCCCCTGCGTGTGTGGAAGGCGTCCACTGAGGTGGCGGCCCCTCCAGCCGTGGTGCTACACCGTGTTCTGCGGGAGAGGGCCCTCTGGGACGAGGACCTGCTGCGGGCCCAGGTGTTGGAAGCCCTGATGCCGGGCGTGGAGCTGTACCACTATGTCACCGACAGCATGGCGCCCCATCCCTGCCGCGACTTTGTGGTGCTCCGGTGAGGGCTTCTGGCTGTCGGCCTGCCGTGCGTGCAGGACCAGGGAGGTGGGCTGGGAATGGACGCCGGGAACCTGACCGTGTGTGTCCCTTCCCCACAGGATGTGGCGCTCCGACCTGCCCCGCGGCGGCTGCCTGCTAGTCTCCCAGTCTCTGGATCCGGAGCAGCCCGTGCCAGAGTCAGGGGTGCGGGCCATGATGCTCACTTCCCAGTACCTCATGGAGCCTTGCGGCCTGGGCCGCTCCCGGCTCACTCACATCTGCCGCGCTGATCTCAGGTACCAGGCCCCTTCAGCCACACGGCACTCTCCCCACCTCTGCCCCACGCCATCGATCCCTGGGGGCTGGGGGCGAGGCCTTTCTTCCTTTCTCCTGCCCAGGGCTCCAGGGCAGAACCCATGGCTCATGCCTGCCTGCTTCTACCTCCCCAGGGGCCGTTCTCCTGACTGGTACAACAAAGTCTTTGGGCACCTGTGTGCCATGGAGGTGGCAAAGATCCGGGACTCCTTCCCCAGCCTGCAGGCAGCTGGCCCCGAGACAAAGTTGTGAGCCTCAGCTTGGCGCCAGGGTGGCACCACGCAGGCCCCTTGGCACCAAGGAAGTAAGGGAGTAAGGAGAGGAGAGCAGCCCCCACGTGTTGCTTCCAGGGGCGGAGCCAGGCCCTTGCCGATCCAGCCAGCCTGCTGTCCCCTTGGCTTCCTGAAGCTCCTCCACACATACAGGGGAGGAGGAGAGAATTTCAGTGTCCCATCTCTACTCCACCTGCACCCACCAGCCTGTGTTCTGTCCTCCCAAGAGAGAGGAGTCATTTTCAGGAGCAGAAGACTGCTGCGGCCCTCCAGGCCCACCGAGGCACCATCAGTCTGAAGCCTTGCCAGCACGCCCCACCTGCAGGGGGAAGGAGGTAGAGAGCAGTGTGTGCGTCCAGCTCTCTGCCACTCCGAGAGGCCAAGCCGTCCTTTTTGGTGCTCGGGTCCCTTTGAGGTTGGCAGGAGGCTCTGGTCCTGCCTTGGGGCCTAATGTTGGCCCTGAACCGGCTCTGCCAGAGAACGCGAACGAGAGAGGATGCGCACAGGGCAGCCCCAACCACCATGAGCTGTTTTATTGGTGTAAATGCGATGCCGATTCTCCTGAGGCTGATTTAAAGAGTGCGCACTACCAGCGGGCAACAGGACAGTTTGGGGCAGCCTGGGAGATGGTAGTGGAGGGGGGAGGGGTCTTCCTTTCTCAGGTCTCAGGAGACCAGTGAATCGGTCTCCCTGGCTCGGGCCTCCTACTTTATCTGCCACTCCCTGGTGTTCTGTGCAGCCCTTGGTCACACACTCTTGCGTCTGGAGAGCAAACGGGCTCACTCCCACTGCACAGGCCAAGCAAAAGCAGGCGGGAGTGAAGAGACACATATCTGTGTCCGCGTCCCTTCTGCTCTTCCTGCCTATGGTAACAGGCTGACATAAGAGCCCCGTCATCAAGCAGAGACCTGGCCCCTGCTTCCGGCAGCTGGCCAGCCAGATGGAAGGGCCGAGTGTCACCTCAGCCAGCTGGGGCTTGATCCAAACCTGATCCGTCCCACCCAGCAGCTATCTTGACTTACGTGGAATTCCAAATGACGTTCAGATGCCAACTGGTGCTTTATTTTTCCTTCAGCTCAATAAACTGGAGTGGGATGGGTCCCAGCCGATGTTGTAATTTTTAAGCCTATTTTATTTGTACCTATAAATACTGTACAGTCAGAATATATATATGTATTTGTATATATATAGATACATATATATGCACATCTATATACACACACATATTCTATTGTGAGTATATTATAATCTGTGGGTGCGAGCAGGGGTCTGGAAAGCCCAAGGGAGCAGGGACGAGGGAGGTGGAAGGCAGGAACCATGTGACCCCTCGGGAGAACAATAAAGCATTACTAGAGATGGACTCTGGTTGTGTGACTGTCTTCCCTGAGATGATGGGCTGGGGACTGAGGGCAGGTTACAATGTGGGCTTAGTGTTAGCGTCAGAAATCGTGAACATTACCGGTGTAGGATTTGGGGGGAGGCCACGGTAGGAATGGGGAGGGCCTCAGCTCTTCTCTTTGGGAGGTGATTTGGGGGTGGGGAAGGTGGGACTCCAGGAAGCCAGGGCTTGGGCAGAAGCTGCAGACCCCCTGTCCCCTGATCTGGCCAGGGTCCCCAGGCGGAGTGGCACACAAGCATGACCTCAGGCATCCTGACAGTAGCCCTAGGGAGAGATGCTCCCGGCTCTGCTTTCCTTCCTTCACCTGTCACGCACAGCCCAGGCTTCAGGATGAAGAGTGGAAACCCAGCCCCTGGAGGCTTGGAGACCCTGTTTTCCCCATAAACCAGCCTAAGAGAGGTCGGAGTGCCTGAAGGCAGCCCCTGGTCTGGCTCCAGTGGCCAGCAAAGCCCTGGCGGGGGGGCGCTAGAAAGGCCCCCTCGTCTTTACTTCCCCACAGGAAAAGGCTCTCTTTGCCGCACTGCTGTAGCCATAAATTTCCCAAGCTCCTAGGGGCAGTTAGAGAGGAAGCGCAGGCTTTGCCATCCAATCTATGTTTTCACCCATTGAGTGCCGTTGGGTCGCCTGGGGCAAACAAGTCCTACTGCTCTCCCTCTATCTGAACGTCCGCCTCCTCGTGGGCCAAATAGGCCAGTGACACCTCGGCAACAAGCCCGGCTCAGCAAGTGTTCAGTTTGGCCTGCCCCGCTCGGCCTGGACGGCTTGGGGCGTCTGTCAAGTCCCATTTCTCTGTTACCTTTTATTCTCTTTTGGGTTCAGCTGTCCCTACGTGCCTTTGGCCTTTCTTCACTGCTGCTGCCTGGGGCCCTCAGCTAGCCTTAGGAGGCAGCACGGTGGAACAGAAGTGCTGTCAGCCGTTCGCCCGTGGGAGAACAGTGGAGGCCCCCCACACGTGGGTATGGGTGATGAGAGATGGCTCAAGCAGTGTTGGTGTTAAGGGACACCAGGGGGAAGCTCCAGCCAGTGGCCTGAGGCAGGCAGCCCGGGGACCTTCTGGCGCAAGCACCGCCTGACCTGCTCGTGGAAGGAGGCTAGGGTGATGGGACAGAGTATAGGGTTGGGCATGCTGTCAATGGGTGAGATGAAAATGACTGCCCAGGTGACGGTCGCTAGGAGACAAAGAGTCGTGTAGGAGGGAGATTCTTGGAAGAGCCAGAGAATTCCTCCAACCTTTCAGCTCTGGACCCTTGCCCTGGACCAGCTGCCCAGTGGGGGACCAGTGTGGCTCCCCAGCTCTGGCATTCGTTGCCAGAGTGGCTGAGAGTAGATGGTAGACCTGGGTTCAGAGCTCTAGCTCCATCATTTCCTGGCTGTGATCTTAAGTGACACATTTAACCCATCTGACTTCTTTTTCCTCACAGAAGATAAGGCTAAGAATTATTTATATACTGCAGTGTTGTCATTAGGGTCGAATGAGCCAATGGCTGCGAATGTGGCTGCACAGTGCCTAGCACATGGTGGACACGAATAAATGGTAGTCTCCCCTACCCTGCCTCCTACCTGCCTCGCCCTCGCCAGTCAGCCTCTGTGCAGAGGGCTTGGGCTTGGGTGGATGGGTGGGTATGCACATTATGTTCTGCTTGGCATCGAGGCCCTGCCTACCTCCTTGGCTCTCAGACCCCCATGGCCTCAGCTGCCACCATGCTGGACACACCTCATCAGGCTCAAAACATCCCAGTGACCTTTTTGTATCCTAACTACTGATTGGTTTTCACCCCACTTCCGCCCTGAGAATTTGGCTCCCTGGCCCTATCTTCCCTCTTGAAGCCCTGCTTCCTCTGCGCAAGGGGAGCTCTTCCCACTTCTTTGAGCACAGCTCCTGACCCTCTTTCCTTGCCCCTTTCACTTCTCTTCTCCCTCTGCCCCACCTCAACCTCGGTCATTCCTCCAAGTTCTTCCTTTTCCACCACCCTGCTTCACCTTGCTCATCAGGGACCTCGCTGGCATCCATGGTTTCAGTTTATACTTCTGTGCAGATGCCCCGTCACTCCCAGAGCCCTCTCACCTTCCCACATAACCAATGCATACAGGCATCCATCCATCAGTCCAAACACTCATACATTCTGCCATTCAACAGGTGGTCGCAGAATGCTGGCATATAGGCCAGACTCGAGGCACCGAGAATACAGCAGTGACCAAGACCAACAAGGTTCCCACATGACTTTAGCACCCATCCTAGTAGTTGGACAAGTGGAGGGAGGTAGACGATAAACACATACGCAAGCTAACTTCAGCTATAAGGGTGATGAAGGCAATCAAGCAGGGTAAGGCAGTGGTGACTGAGCACTTACGTCCATAGGATGATCAGGGAAGGCCTCTCTGAGGAGGTGATACGTAAGCCAAGACCTGAGGGCGGAGAATGAATCAGCCATGCAACGATCTAAGGGGAGGAATTCTGGGCAGAGGAAATAGCAGATACAATGGACCTGGGGTGGAGGCAAAGTTGGCGCTTTCTGGGGGTGAGCAGCTGGTTAGCATGGCTGGAATGCAGGAGCAAGGGGAGGGTTAGAAGGAGAGGGCGTGGGAGAGGTAAGTAGAGGCCTGGATCATGTGGGCCTAAAGGGGAGCTAGCCACACATGCTGTCAGATCTCCCTCGGCCGTGTCTCCTGTATCTGGCTTCTACCCAGTGTCTAGGGCACCCTGTTCATATTGCATGCCTTTCCACCCAGACATTAGGAAGAGGCACTCACCTCATTTCTCTTATCCTGCCCGTTTCCACCTATACTTAGTACCAGGTGAATCATTCAAGAGTCAAAAAGTCAAGTATCATCCTATGTTTTTCAGACTGTGGCATTCAGGACCCCCTGATGTGGCCTTAGGCCTTGTCCACCAAGTTTCTTCTTTTCACTTCCCTTCTTCGGCCATGTGCTTGACATGCTCCTTCCATTTCCTCTGCCATGAGCAGACATAGAACTCTCTTGGATTTGGAGGACCCAGGTTCGGGTCTCAGCTCTGCCACTTCTTAGCTGTGGGGCTGTGGGAAAGTTATTGAAACTTTTGGGAGCCCAGTTTCCCCATACATAAAATGAGGCTTGGAGAGATGTGCAGGTTACTTAGCAATGTAGGTCAATTGTTACAAAGTGCTATCACCCCCAGACTTCATCAGTCTGGCAACGCCCAATGCCAGTATATCCCCGCTATGAAGCAGTCCCTGAAGCTTCCAGCAAGGTTTCTTGACTCCCTCTTCTGAGTCCTCATTGCCCTTTGCATCTGTTTCCAAGCTTCCGTCCTGCTTAGGTCTCCTCTTAGTGTTCTTTGGGTACCAGTCACATGACCCCCATTAGCCTGGGAGCACCTGGGATCAGGATCCTAGTGAGGATCATCTCTGCGTCCTTCATAGTGCCCAGCCCAGAGAGGCAGGGAGGCCTGGTGGAGGGCGTCTGGAGATACACAGAGGTGGGTTCAAGTCCTGGCTCTGCCACTTCTTAGTGCTGTGATCTTGAGCAAGCCCCTTTGCTCTCTGAGCCTCAGCATTCTCATCTGTAAAGTGAGTGTTGAGAGGAGCCCAGGCGCCTAGCAC